TTAATCAAGGTCGTTCTTCACTGAATCCCCGCCAGGATGACTGCTGGTAATATCCAAGAAACAAAGACAAAGAGGGATGGGGGAAGGGGAAAGAGCTGAGCCCAGGCTGGGACGGTGTCTAGCCTGTGAAAGAAATACCTGGAGTTTTAAGCTGCAAGCAAGAGCAGCTTGCCTTCAAGAAACACTGCATTCTCTCTTATACAACATTTAGGGTGAGAAATTACTACTTGTAACCAATTTCTTTAGTATTAAGCTTAGCTTGTGTGTTTGTTTCATTTGCCGGGTAATCTGCTTTGATCTGTTTGATAACCCTTATACTCACTTAAAATCTATCTTTTGTAGTTAATAAACTTATTTTTATTTTCTCTGAAACCATTTTGTGGAATTCATAATGGGGAGGCAAAAAGCTATGCATATCTTCCTCCACATTGAGGAAGAGTGAACTTTATTTGCTTATTCTGTACAGTTCTCTGTGGAGCGCAAGACAATACAAGTTTGAGTTTACACTCCAGAATCATAGAATCATAGAATATCAGGGTTGGAAGGGACCTCAGGAGGTCATCTAGTCCAACCCCCTGCTCAAAGCAGGACCAATTCCCAACTAAATCATCCCAGCCAGGGCTTTGTCAAGCCGGGCCTTAAAAACCTCCAAGGAAGGAGACTCCACCACCTCCCTAGGTAACGCATTCCAGTGCTTCACCACCCTCCTAGTGAAATAGTGTTTCCTAATATCCAACCTAGACCTCCCCCACTGCAACTTGAGACAGAGGGGGTGTGCACTTCAGTGCTGGGCAATTCCCTAGCTGAGTCTTCCCATGCAGAGCTGATTTCAATGTCTGTTTCTTTCTGCAGCTAGGTGTGTCCCTACCTGTGTGTGTGCTGGAGGAGGCTTGAGGGCCTGGCTCAGAAGGACAGTGTAAGGGAGCCCAGGCTAGTGGAACAGGCAGGCTCAGTGGTACCCTGGTACATTAGGTGTACTGGAGGGGGGCGACCTGTCACAGTACAGCATGCCAGACCTCTTCAGGCGTGGATAACCTTGGTGTGTTGACCAATTTGGGACGGTCTAGACATGGTTGCCACTCTACCCCGGCTGGTTCTCGAGACTCTCCTATGGTGGCTCAACCCATAAGCGATTTGTGCAGGTATTCCCTTCTCCAGACCTCAGCCATCCCTTTCACTGGTGACAGAGGTGTCAGCAATGGGTTGCGGAGCGCACCTAGGGGAGCTCAGGACCTCTGGTCCCAAGCGGAGCTCTTACTTCATATCAACATCAGAGAGCTGAGGGCAGTCTGTCTGGTATGCCAGACATTCCAGGTTCACTTGGAGGGGAGATGGATATCAGTCATGACAGACAATGCAACAGCAATATTTTACATAAACAGAAGGGGGAGCACGCTCCTCTCCCCTGTGCCAAGAAACCCTCAAACTGTGGGACTTTTGCATAGCTCACTCAATACACCTGGAGGCATTTTATCTCCCCAGCATTCAGAACAAGTTGGTGGACTATCTCAGCAGATCCTTTCACTGCCACGAGTGGTCCATCCGCCCGGATGTCGTGAACACCATCTTCCAGCAGTGGGGAATTCCCCAGATAGACTTGTTCGCCACGCAACGTAACAGGAAGTGCCTGCAGTTCTGCACCTTCCTGAGTCACAGCCCAGGCTCCATCACGGATGCGTTTCTCCTTCCTTGGAAGGATCACCTCCTGTATGCGTTTCCACCCATACCACATGTTCACAAGGTGCTACTCAAAGTTTGAAGGGACGAACCTTTGGTGATATTGACAGCTCCAGCCTGACCCTGTGAGCACTGGTACATGTCTGTCCTGGAAATGTCAGGGGAAAACCTGATTACCTTACTACTGCTCCCAGACCTGATAACTCAGGATCACTGCCGCCTCCATCACCTGTATCTCTTCACCTCACAGCGTGGAAGCTCCATGGCTAAACCCAATGGAGCTGGCTTGTTCAGGCCCAGTTAGGGAAGTCCTCCTTAGCAGTAGGAAACCGTCCACTAGGAAAATGGAAAAGATTCACAATTTGGTCTTCGCAATATCTCCCATTTCCTACACTCTCGTCAATACCCGTGATATTGGACTACCTCCTGCACCTAAAGCAGCAAGGGCTTTCTATGTCGTCAATAAAATTCCACTTGGCTGCCATTCCCTCCTTCCATCCAGGCGTGGGAGGCTGGTCGGTGTTTACCAACCTGATAGTTGGTTGTTTTCTTAAAGGTCTTGACAGGCTATACCTTGACGTACAACAGCCGATCCCAGCCTAGGACCTTAACCTGGTTCTTTCCAGACTGATGGGGCCACCCTTTGAACCGCTTGCAACATGTTCTCTGGTCTATCTCTCATATAAAGTGGCATTCCTGTTAGCAATAACTTCTGCTAGGAGGGTGTCTGAGCTTAAGGCCCTAACATCTGAGCCTTCCGTACACAGTGTTTCTATAAGGACAAGGTTCAACTTCGGTTGCATCCGCCCTTTCTCCCTAAAGTTGTCTCCCAGTTTCATGTTAATCAGGATATTTTTCTTCCAGTGTTCTATCCCAAGCCGCACGCAAAGTAGCAGGGAGGAAAAACTTAATTTGTTGGACGTTTGCCTGACGTTAGCCTTCTATATCAAACGGACGAAGCCTTTTCAAAAATCTATTAAGCTATTCATCACAGTAGAAGACAGAATGAAGGACCTTCCAGTCTCCTCCCATAGAATCTCATCATGGATTACTTCCTGTATCTAAGCGTGCTACAGTCTGGCAAAAATACCTGCCCCTGTGCTGACAGTGCATTCCACAAGGGCACAGGTGTAGTCAGCAAAGTTCCTGGCCGAGGTTCCAACCCAGGAAATTTGCAGGGCTGAGACACGGTCCTCAGTCCACACCTTTATCTCGCATTACACCATTACTCAGCAGGCTAGAGATGATGCCGCCTTTGGCATAGCGGTGCTTCAATCAGCGAACCTTTGAGCCCGACCCCGCCTCCAAATTTCAGCTTGGTAATCACCTAAATGGAATCGATATGAGCAATCACTCGAAGAAGAAAAAAGTTATCTCCCTTTCGTAACTGTTCTTCGAGATGTATTGCTCATGTCCATTCCAATACCCACCCGCCTACCCTTCCGTCAGAGCATGGCCGTCAAGAAGGAACTGAAGTGGCGGTGGGTCGGTGCCATATTTGGTGCCATGGAGGCGTGACTCCAGGGGGTGCCTGAACCAACCCAACGGGTGCTGCTAGGGGAAAAACCTTCCAGCTGCCATGCACGTGGCGCGAGCACACCTAATTGGAATGGACATGAGCAACACATCTGGAAGAATAACAGTTATGAGAGGTAGGTAACCGTTTTTTGCCCACATACAAAATGAGAAATGACGGCCTAGGAAGTAGTACTGCAGAAAGGGATCCTGGGGGTCATAGTGGATCACAAGCTAAATATGAGTCAACAGTGTAACGCTGGTGCAAAAAAAAAAAAAAAAAGCTAACGTCATTCTGGGATGTGTTAGGAGGAGTATTGTAAGCAAGACATGAGAAGTAATTCTTCTGCTCTATTCCGCACTGGTTAGGCCTCAGCTGGAGTATTGTGTCCAATTCTGGGTACCACATTTCAGGAATGATGTGGAGAAATTGGAAAAAGTCCAGAGAAGAGCAACAAAAATTATTAAAGGTCTAGAAAACATGACCTAATAGGGAAGATTGAAAAAAATTGGGTTAATCTGGAGAAGAGAAGACTGAGCGGGGACATAAGTTTTCAACTACATAAAAGGTTGTTACAAAGAGGAGGGAGAAAAATTGTTCTCCTTAACCTCTGAGGATAGTACAAGAAGCAATGGGCTTAAATTGCAGCGAGGTCGATTTAGGCTGGACATTAGGAAAAACTTCCTAACTGTTAGGATGGTTAAGCACTGGAATAAATTGCCTAGGGAAGTTGTGGAATCTCCATCATTGAAGATTTTTAAGAGCAGGTTAGACAAACACTTATCAGGGATGGTCTATATAATACTTAGTCCTGCCATGAGTGCAGGGGATTGGACTAGATGACCACTTGAGATCCCTCTAGTCCTACGATTCTGACCAGGAAGTCAGATGAGATGAACAGGCTTTATAATCTATGAATGCAGGGCCGGCTCTGGCTTTTTCGCCGCCCCAGGCGAAAAAGCCTCTGGCCGCCCCCCGCGGGGGGCGGCCGGAGCCCCGGGGGGAGGGCAGCGAGCCCCGGTGAGGGCTCCGCTCTCCCCCCGGCGGCCGGGGGGAGGGCGGCCGGAGCCCTGGGAGGAGGGCGGCGAGCCCCAGCCGGGGGCTGGGCTCGGCTCCCCCCCCCCCCCCCCCCCGGCGGCCAGAGCGCCGCGCCGCCGCCCCCCTCCAGGTGCCGCCCCAAGCACCAGCTTGGGTGCCTGGTGCCTGGAGCCGGCCCTGTATGAATGAAATTTCCATACTAAAATTTTGTTTAAATAATAATTAGTTGCGGGAATAGCTCTGTAATTTAAGGTTAAAATTCTGTACAAAAATTCTGTAGCTACCAATACAAGGACATAGTTAAGGTTAAACGTAGAAGACAACTTCCTATCTTAACCATAATTTATGGCTGAGATGTGATCATATGCTATGTGAACAGTAAATCTATTGGCATGTCGACTAGTTAGTTAGCATGTTAGTCCCATATCAGTTTCTTTAAGTTTTATGGTTGGTATATAAAATTGAAAAGACATTCTAGGTCAGAAGTTCAAGATCTAAGTGGGACTAGGGTAAAGTGGGTCAGATTTTTGTTTGGAGAGGAGTGAGCTGATGGAAGGCGCTTAAGATAAAAAAACCTTGATGGTACTTTCATCATTTCCTCTGTGCGCGTGTGTGCGCGCGCGTGTGGTTTTTATATATATATATATATATATATACACATACTATACGTGTGTGTGTGTGTGTGTGTATATATATTAATATATATAAAAATAAATATAAATTTCAGAATGAATGTGGGAAAACTAATGACGTCTGAATTCTTTTGTAGGTGGAAGATACATGAAGCTTGTATGTTGGCACTGGGCTCTGTGAAATCTGTTATTACAGACAGTGTGAAGAATGGTAGAATTCATTTCGATATGCATGGATTCCTGACAAATGTTGTTCTTGCAGATCTCAACCTGTCAGGTATGTCAGCAAAAATGCTTTGAGTAGTGGTAATTGCTGAGCATCTGGTAGCCCAGAACCATTGAAAAACATTTCCAAATATAGGTGCTCAGTGTATATAGAGGGAACTGATATGGTTGACAAGGTGGAATACTATTGCACAGAAATATTTGGGGGAAACTACACAGGTAAAGGGGCATCGTATTTGTATGCCCTTCCACACGCAATGTAAACTTAATGTAAGCCAGTCTACTTTCAATTGAGACTTCTTGTGTAAGTGGATGGCTCTGAACTTGTAGGATCCTCTGAGGGTGGAAGGGAAACTATCTTGGGGAGCTCACAAGGAGTCAGAAAAGTCAGTAGCATCCTTTGAATACTTTAAAATAATCCCAGGGGTGCTGTAACATCTAGTTTTAAATTAATCTGTTTTGGTCTCCGTTCAAACCAATAATGGTCATGGCTGTGTTGGAGCTGATTATGTACTATGCAGGGATCTGCTCACTTTCCCATCTTAACTTTCCCAAGGAGGCGTAAAGAACTGTTAAAATGAACTGCAAGCGATTCATGTTTAAGAAAACAAGTTAATCTGTAATTTTGACCTACTTAATTTGAAGTGTGTGTTGTGTTAAATATGCCAGGCTCTCATTGGAGAAGTGAGCTCTTTGAGAGACTAGATAAGCAATAGTGATGATTTCACTGTTACGGGGTGTACCAATCCTTCATTGGGTCAATGGTGATGGATCAATTACTGTGAGCCCAGAAGGCCATGCCCCCTTTCCCCTGCTGCGCATGCTCCAGATGGAAGAGCCAGATAAAAAGAGGCAGCCCAGCTCAGTCAGGGCTGGCTATGGAGGAGAAAGGACATGTACTGCAGGTTTCTGCAGAGGTGCCTGTGACACTCCAGTGGTAGAGCCCAAGGACCCGGACCACGCTGCAGGTGACTTGCTGACTATGGAGACAGCCGGGGAAGCCAAGCTGCTGCCAGCTGAGGAGGTGCCCAGGATGCAGCTTGTGGTAGGAAGTGACCCAGGGAAGGTGATGGAAACTGATGCCCAACACCTAGCGGGGAGTTCCCTGGCTTCATAGGGACCTGGGTTGGAACCCAGTGGAGAGGGCAGGGCCGGGTTCCCCTACTACTCCCACAGGCCACCAGGCATGACTGCTCATCTGCTCTACGTCCCACCCAGAATCGTAGGGGTTATAGACTGTTTGTTTTGCCCCACCCAGGGGTAATAGACTGATTGCCGTTTTGCTCTGCCCAGGGGGCTGATTCCCCCAATTGCTACTACCTGCCCCAGCCAGGAGGCTTAGGGGCCATAGACTGTTTGTTTGTTTTGCCCCACCCAGCGGCTACAGACTGATCGTTGTTCTGTCTTGTCCAAGGGGGCCAGGACTCCAGTTGTGGGTGACATAGAATATCAGGGTTGGAAGGGACCTCAGGAGGACATCTAGTCCAACCCCTTCTCAAAGCAGGACCAATCCCCAACTAAATCAGTCCCAGCCCAGGGGCCACAGACTATTTGTTTATGTGGCTCTGCCAGGGGACTGGAGCCCACCTTGCTGCAACTCCCTGTATTAGCAGGAAAACCTGACAATTGTGAGATGGCGTGTACCAACCCCGCACTGGGCCAATGGGGGCAGCCCGGTTCGGCATTGAAGTTTTCTCTGCACTGAATAATTTACTAAAATAGTACTACCAGTTCTGGCTCTGGTTTTACTGTTGTCAATTAGTTCTGGGTGTAGACATGGCTTTAGATGCCCAGAATAGTGGATGGAGACAGACTCTTCGGACTTTCTGCTTTCAAGTTCAATTTTGTTTAATTCAGCAACAAAGTCTGAAACTCCCTACCAGCTACTGTAGTGTTTCTAACTGTTTTTCTCCTTGTTTCTTTTCCAGAAATGTTCTTTGCCTATCAGTTTTTCCCTTTTTTTTTTACAAATATTGGATTTTGCTGTTTTCGAACAAAACAATACAATTCATACTCTTTACATCCCTCTTTAATCAACATGACACTGTGGAGATCCTATCTACTTCCAGGGCTACTGCAGGAAGGGAAGGGGTTGTGATCCAGGTGTTACCCAGGGTCTTAAGAACGCACCACAGTGGTAACTTAACTATTTCACTCCAGGTGGTGTCAGGAATAAATCAATGGGAACACAGCAATTCCGTCTGATAGAGCACGCTGACTTGCATTAATCTTTTATCTAAAACTGCAGTTTATTAGATTTAAGCACACAGACATAAGCAATAGGTAGACCATCCCAGATACTTTCCTAAAATCTGGAATAGTATTCAGTAATTAAGAGTGGCCAGTTGCTTACCCGCTGGGGAGAAAAGGTGTCAGGAAATACATCTCTCAAGCTGGCTTCAGAGGACTGCTCCAAAATAGACTCTATTAGCTAGTCTTTTATAACTAACCTCTGCAAACATATAGGTCATAATGACCCCTACTAAATCATCACTTTTCCCAACTTTCAATAAACTACTTATCAACAGAAGCAACAGAGAGTCCTGTGGCACCTTTAAGACTAAGGGCTGGTCCACACTAACCCCCCAGTTCGAACTAAGATACGCAACTTCAGCTACGTGAATAACGTAGCTGAAGTCGAAGTATCTTAGTTCGAACTACAAGGTACTTACCACGGGTCCACACGCGGCAGGCAGGCTCCCCTGTCGACTCCGTGTACTCCTCTCGCGGAGCAGGAGTACCGGTGTCGACGGCGAGTACTTCCGGGATCGATTTATCGCGTCTAGACAAGACGCGATAAATCGATCCCAGAAGATCGATTGCTTACCGCCGAACCCGGAGGTAAGTATAGACGTACCCCAACAGATGTGAAGCTTATGCTTCAACACATCTGTTAGTCTTAAAGGTGCCACAGGACTCTCTGTTGCTTTTTACAGATCCAGACTAACACGGCTACCCCTCTGATACTTATCAACAAACATTCCTAACAATCTTAATTATAATACTTCTATATCAAAGGTGCACAAATTCAAAGTTCTTGTCACCCAAGGTTTTCAGTCTGTTGTTGACTTTTCTTTCCCCTCCTCCCATTCTGATTAGCAGAAACTGCCAGTTACTTTTGACCTTGCCTCTAAAATCCTGCTTTCAAATTAACTCTATACTATGTGGTGTTCTATTTTATTAATTCATGGTGGCTGAATACACATAATATGGTTGCAATTAGCTTGATCACATTCTGGGGTGTACATACCCCTCAAATCTGGGGCAAAACAGAAAGGGAGAATTCCTGGTCTATGTGGGCCTCCAACAGCTCTGGACTTCCTGGGGTGCATTCTTTAAGTATTTTTTAGGGAAATTTTGCTTTTCAGTTAGTCTGATTCAGAACATCAGTCATGCTGGGAAGGGAAACTTTTGTGTGGGGCTGTGGTTAGGAAGAATTCTTCCCTTCCATGCAGATCACATTTCAAGTGTGCTGCTATTCTGAAAAGTGACTTTTCCCTTTTTACTCTGTTGATCTGTTCCTTGTGAGCATTCAGAGTTTGATCTACTGACTTTACGCTCCTGGTTAGTATGAAGCAACCTGCCTTATTTACAGGCTAGTTGCAGTGCACAAGGCCCTGTGGCCTCAAGCTTTCCCTCTTCATTCCTTAATATCCAAGGTTATGGGGGGAGGGGGGTGTCTATGATTCCATGTCCCTGTCTTCTTTGCTGCCTCCAAATGTCTAACCATCTTATTGTCTTGACTGTTATAGAATTTTTTTTACCATATTTCACAAGTTAGCAATCAAGAAAATGCAAACAAAAAATCCAAATAAAAACCTTGGGATGACCTGCAGTTTTTATATTGTGTTGAGTTTTGCTGGCAAGTGCAGCAGGAGACCCAGAGCACAGGCTCCTTCCCTTCGATCCTTGGCAGATGCAGGTAAACACCTGGCTTCCACAGGACGTTGCCTATGTCACCCGCCATCACCAAGATTGGTTTGATGAGACTAATGCTGAGATTCAGGGCCTTCCTATATATGGTCCTCACTTCCCAAAAGGTTCACCAGTTCCTAATAAACCTAAACCTCTCCTCCTTACACCATTGTCTCATCCACGCATTGAGTCCCTGCCTTTCTGGCACTGTGCGTAGAACTGAAGCATTTCAAAGAATTCTGTCATGGAGGTCCTTTAATCTCTTATCTAGCAGCCTAAATTTGCCTTCAGGACCTTTCCCCTAGCTTTCCTTCTGTCGCTGGGACCTGCATATACCATGACCACCGTTCCTTCCTAGCACTCTGCACATAAGTCTGTCTTGATGTCTCATGAGATCTGCAAACTTCGTGCTCAGCAGGCCATTTACTATGTGGTTCTTTCAGTCATCAAGTGCTTGGGGAATCTGCTCAGATGCATGTCCAGTATCCTTTGATAAAGTGGCTAGCTAATTAATGAGCTTACCTTGTTCAAGAGAATGTCTTGAGCAGTGGAAGATAGTACATCACTGGGGTTCAAGGCTGGGGGAAATTGGCTGGAGTCTCCCTGGGTATAATTCATCAGTGGCTTAGAGACCATTCATGCAACTCAGCTGGGTGTGTCTCTCCACCTGTTGATGGATGAGTGATCACAGCAACCTGATAGCTGGAGAAGTTTGCTGCTTGTCACTAGCATAGCATTGTGAGAGACAGCCTAGGATGAAGAGTTTAAGGGGACTCAGCAGTCTAGGTTCCCACAGTCTACGTTGTACCCCAGGGGTACATCACACCCCCATTAATACTAGCCCATGTGTGTTAACTAATCTTGTTACCAGCTTGCACAATGACTCATGCACTTCCTCTTCCTGATTTGGTGTCTATAATAGACCCCCACCCTAACATCACTACTGTTCTTTTCCCTTTCTAGCCTCACTCAGAGACTCTCAGTATGTCTGTTGCTCACTTCCCCTTGGACCTCGGAGCGAGTGTACACATTCCTGACACATATTTCTAATAATCGAATCCCCCATTAGAATTACCTTACTCTTTCTAGTAATTGGAGTTTTTTCCTCCGGGAGGTTATCCTCAGTGCAAGAGGATA